ACGTTTCACGCAACGCAAAACCTCCATGAATCCAACCTGCTATTGCTTTCTGCTTCTGCGCTTACTGTTACCTTCTCTACTTCGCAAAACAGAACTAGCATCTGCACCCCTGGCAAGACGACAATCGCAAGTCGTTAGCTGCCTTGCCCACACCCTTGGGTGGTCCCTTCGTCTGTCCCTTCCTGGGCAAGTACACATAGCAAGAGAGGTGTAGGCCTATATGGTTTGTCTGAGCTTCTAGACAAGCCAGGTTTGTCTGCTTACATCGGATTCAGGATCCAACGTTGACACTTAACACATTGAGTTGCTTGAACTGCTAACTGCTAACAACCCTCCTTCTCCCTGCAGCATATTCCCTCTCTTCGTCCTGTCTGTTTCGCCTGACTGCTTCTTGCGAACGACTTTGAGTCGGAAGCACCATGTGCTGCAAGCATCACCCGAACAAATGCGCACCACGGCCTTAAAACCTCAGAGCTCAAAGTCTTAAAACGGCCCTGCACAAGAACGGCCAGCTTATGGCAATGGGGCTCGTTCAAAAACCAAGGTTTCTTCATTTATATGTCTTTATCCTCATGACCTTCTACAGCAGGTATTGCGACCTTTCTGTATCTGCTTCACACGGAAAATACAGCGAATGCTACTTTTTGAACAGACTCCACATGCATCCTTCGCAACCGCAATTTGCGAAACCTCATGAAGCAACACCAGAATTGAAACCCAGAAACTCTGCGTAGGAGATTGGTTCATCTTTTCATTTTGCATGCCAGAGAAAATTACAACAGGGATAGCTCACAAAAGCCAAATACATTTTTGTCCTCGGTGCATCCCGAGCAGAGTCTTCACAGGCTGACAACCGGCATTCCCGAAATCGGTTCATGATTCTGCGAAGAACCATGGCTGTGATTCACGGCCAAACTCGTACAAATCTTGGCGAGGTCTGGAGTGGGTTGCAGCTCTGTTGGGAACTGGATTCGGCTCTTGGCTGGCTGACCTTTGACCATTTCGAGCCCAATTCCTACTTACCTCTGTTTGCACAGCATGATGCTTTTCGGGTTTTACATGTTCATGTCAGATATGCTCATACTGTCTGACATGCGATGGTGGGCTGAAACTTCGCAACGCCGACAGTCTGCTTCCAAAACACGTGGCTGGACTGTCTACTTCATGCAAGTCTCACTAGAATCCTGGAGCTTAAAACCGAGACTAAAGTGCTGCGCAACCTCGAAAGGTTGCTGTCCTGCACTCCAGCGACTGCAGGCCAAGGAATAAGAGCGGGCAGACCCGTCATCTGTAAATGGCGATCATAAGAGACACCATTGCCATGAAAACCCTGCAAGAAGATTCATTCAAGCTACCACGGGCCCAGCAGCCGCATAAGTTGCTTTAATTTTCAGATCTTTGATTTCTGCTGCGACTTTAAAGGTTTCCGGATGTCTCTGTTCTTTGTCACTACATTTAATACCTCCTGCAATCCGCGTGCCTGTGCATGTTTTTGTCGGATGGGAATTCCGAGATTGCCAATTATGTGGGCTTTCACTTTCAGATGCTCCTGTTACGGAAAAGACAAGCTACAATCACCTTGACTGCCGTGCTTGTCATGACTACCAGGACCATTCTGATCGTCTCTGGGATCTATTTTCTTTACGAGAATACCTGGCTCTCGACACAAGAGCACACAACTGTTGGCTCATCGACTCGGCATCAGGCAGGTTCCGGCATGTTCTGTTGAAGCCAGTTGTGACTGATGTAGGCTGTAGTTGAAAACTTGGACATGTTTGGACTGTCTGTCGCTTCGAGAAACTGCGTTTCTGCAAGTGGACATAATTATGGTATTCTCTCGCTGGTGTTTTGCGAGTTTTCGGTACGATTGCATCGAAATTATGTGCGTGTCTAGCATTTCCTGTGATTAGTTCGTCCTGCATTGCATTGCATATTTGCATCTTGTGCAGTATCATCTTCGGGCGTTTAATCTCGTTTAACAAGGACTCATTACTTTCTGACCGTGTTTGACAACCGCCCCTGACCAAATCTACATGCGATAGTTTTGACCCCGTCTTAGATGCTCACTGGAGCTGTTGGTTGGTAGGCATAGCATCAGCGGCAACAGTATTCTGGCAAGGTCGCGGTCGTTCTGTGCATAGTCATGCTACTTGCTTAACACTGATTTAACTGGCGTTGGGTGCCGATGCTGGCCATCCCGATAAACGAAGCTTGTGCAATAATAAAAGGTGTGGTGGCAGTACACTAGCAGCAGTAGTGGCAGTCGGCGCAATGATCGTTGCGGCAGTCGTCATCGTAGCATTGCAGTAGCAGGAGTAGTGCTAGTTTCAGTAGTAGTGGCAGTGGCATTCTTAGTAGTAGCCGCCGTCACAGTAGTTGTAGTTGCAGTTGCTGTTGCAGCAGTAGGAAAGGAGAACAACAGTCGACCGGGCAACAACGATGACAACAACAGAGACAACGTAACCCACCACTATCATCGGACAACGGATAACTAGCCGATTTGAATGAACATATGCATTTGTATGCATGTATGTATGTATGTACGTATGTATGTATGTATGTATCTATGTATGTATGTATGTATGTACACACGTATGTATGTACGTATGACAGCTGCACGAGCAAACACATTTAGGTAGCTTTAAAGTCGATAGGACTTGAGTCTTTTGCAGGAAGCCGCGGGTGAGTTGCCTCCAAGGTGACAAAAGCGTGAGTACAGGCACGGGTGAGACTGGCAAGTGCGGCTGACAAAGGGATCAAAACAAAACTACATAATGAGCCGGGCATCGAGACGGCGAAGGCAGCCGGGCCCTTGCCCTGGCAGGGCATCGAGCTTCTCTGACCCCATATGCAGCGTAATGGTATGCATGGCACGCCCATTACATGCGGGCTTGTGTCAGTATGCAGACCAGCTTTCTCAATTAAGGCTGTCGGATAGCGGGCGAGGGTCTACAGTACGGTGTAGGATTTGATGATCACGGGCTAGCTTCAGGCGTCGAATTTTCGAGGCACCTGGCATTCCTCTGACATTCTTCTGAACCCCTTGACTTCTTGACCTTTCAACAACAGATGGGAGGACAACATCCACCACTTTAGTAACCTTAGTAGCGACGAGACCCCACCTTGGTTCATTGAATGCGCACCGGCTCATGCAACAACCTCTCATCTGGTCCGTGGTCGGGACAGTATGAAACATGATCACTGTTGTTCCTTCTTGGGCTTAAGTACCCCCAAGTATCCAAAATGTTTTACCCATCTATGACAAGGTCATTAGGCTTGAACATGGCCAGCGCTCCTTTAGCTCTTCACCTTGCCTCAAGACCAACCTTAACACAAAGAACTGAAGTTCTGCTCTCAGCTGCTCTGCACACCCCCTGAAAAAAAGTACAAACGGTCCTCACATCCAATTCTCGCACCTCCATTCCTGAACCAGAAGCATCCCTCAGTTCTTCGAAGCGTGGGCCAACGAAGTCTCGAAACCTCTGACTTCCCTCAGCTTCTTCAAGGAACCCTAAGTACCCTTTAAGGGACCCTTATGGTAGGCCATAGCAGCAGCTCGCAAAACAGACTTGACAGGACCTTGGCAGCACCCCCTCCAGCCAGCAGTCCTGCGGCAGAACGGTCTGATGCAGATGGCATTGACACAACACTCCGACAAACAACAGCCGCGATTGCAACAGGAATAGTCAAGCATGTGCACGAGCAACTGTGATTGTAGCAGCATTAGCTGTAGCCGTGGCGGTTGTGAGCGGCGGTCATTGCAATAGTAACGGCCCAAAGTAGCGGCAGTAGCAGTGCAGCAGCAGTAGCAGTAGCATGCTGTGTACAAGTACTGTAGTCATCATTGTCGTATTCGTCGTCGTCCTCGTTCTCGTTACCGTCGTAGCGGTGCTGACAATAGACACCACTCCGGATAGTAGCAACAGCGGTGAATGCGATCATGCATATGAAAATGGCAATTACCCTCCAAATCGCTTCCGGCTGAAGCTAAGTCACAGTCACTTCTTCACTCCGACTCCTGCTCTGATTGCCGAGGGCGTCCGCACCATGGGCTTCACAACCACAGGCCGGTGCCCCGCAGGGGGGCCTGACCCTGACCGCGCCGCCTGGGCAGACCAGGTAACTGGCGTGGCCCTCACAGTGGCCGGCCGGATGATTGGCGCCTGCGTGAGATGCGTGAATCTGCATTTTTTGTGGATCTCTTTGGAATACTAAACTGGAACTTGCCCCCCGGCCTTCAGAAACTGCTTCTGCACGGGCGCATAGTCCTTGCCACCCTTTCCCTTAGCGTAGCCGTGTTTGGCACTGGCAGAGCTCATCGTTATGAAGCAGGCTGCATCTAAAGATGGGTTGGAACCAACTAAAGTGCATGTCGATCATCCTTCCGAAGCATGACAGCGAATTTGCCTATTGGCTCTGCCACACACAGCATGCGCAGAAATACGACTGCGGTTGGCAGTCTCTCATCCTTCAGGGTGCCATCCCGAGGAAACTTGGCACACGGCTTTGCCGCCGCCACCCCAGCCCATCTTGCGCACAGGAGGCCTGCGGCATCAGACTCCAAAACAGTTTAAGGTTTAGGGTTTACCCTAAACACCCTAAAAACTCCGAAACCCGAGCCGAGCCTGGCTGGGTCCACAAGCGGCCGGGGCTCCAGGACCAGGGCCCCCCCCCTTCCGCTAAGTGTCTCAACTTGAGCCCAAAATGGAAAGGACGGCTTCAAGAAAGCAAGGCCTCGTAAAAGATGTCTCTGGGTAATATAGGGGCCGTAATCGTTTGAATAGGGTTTGGGGGCCCGTTAGTCACTGTACCAAAATCAAATAAAGAATCCTCACAATAATATAGGCAATGATTGAGGCCGCTACATATTAGCAATCTCCTCCACTTGCGAGCCCCACCGGACCCGCGCCCCTCGTGCCATATCCCCGATATTCCTCATATGCCATACTTTTCTGGAGGGACGGAGTCCTACAAAACCTGATGGAATCTTGGCCAGATGCTGCTCCGACGGCGTCTGACCTCGGAGCCGAGGTTCCGAGGGCCGAAGGTGGGGCGAAAGCCCTGTAGTTCACGGGGCTGCTGAAAAACGACTCGGAGAGACATACACTATCATTACCATACATTACATTCCATGTCATTCCATTCCATCCAATCCTATCCCAGCCATCCAGATATACAGAAAGCCCAACGTGCTCACAGAATCCAGAAAGGCGTGAAATGAAGAAACAGGGTCCGCAGTACGCAAGACAATCCAATGCTCACAAGAATCCACACGCCAGTGCTGTCCAAGAAGTGCAAAGAACCTTGAAGCAGGAGCACCCGAAAACCAGCATCAGCAGCATCAGAAGGAACTTTGGTGCCAGCATCAGTTATCAGACGCCAAAGGAAGCCTAGACGTCTAGCCCCGACGTCAATGGGGTCCCGACGTTTTTGGGTGGGGTACAGCTCTGAAAACTCTCGATTTTGTAGGCACCCCTAGACCCAGGCATAAGCTCCCAGGAGAGCTTCGTGACTGCAGTAGAAGGCCTTGGCATGATCGGCACTTCTCAGTGCCTATTGTGGAACCTGATCCTTGCAGGCACGTGTCTGCCCCCTGCTTGTGACCCAGCTTCTGGCCGGAAGGCCCGTCATCGATCCTTGCACCTTCCCTTGCCATGCGCCACGACAGGTCCGAAAGCGGCCCTCGAAAGCAGGCCCCGTGGTAGGGAAAGGGCCCAAACCTAGGCCATGAGCAGGGCCCGACCCGACACTGAAAAGCGAAGTCTTTGAGTCTCCCGAGGTGGACACAAGCTTCCGCAGCAAGCATCGTGATAAGATCCTGGTCCTGAGCCAGCAGGCTAGTGAGGTACTAGTAGCATTTCGGCTTCGGGTTGTTCAGGATGTAGTGGCTGAGCTGAGACTGCTCAGACGTGCAGTGCGGTATACAGGATTTCAGAGGTCTATGCCAGCAGCAGCCAGGTGCAGGAGTCCTAAAACCCATGACTCCCAAATCTCCGCCAGGAGTTCCCAAAGCCTTGAGTTCCTACTGAATCGAGGGAAGGCCCCGATCAGGCTTGAGCTTCCTGAAATCCTCCAAGACATGTTACGGGCTCAGCTGAGGGTCTGGATTTGCTCTTGCCTCTCTCTTGTTCCAGCCGTGCCGGTTTTTGTTATTGTGTCCGCCGAGTTCCGCAGCTACGGTGTACGGGTGTTGCCAGAAAACACTAACCATCAAGTATGCCATGTTACCTCGTACTCGTAGACTGCTCTTCCATCTTCAAACCTTACCCGGAAGAGTAAAGATCCTCCTCAAGCCTTGGAGCCCTGGAGGGTGTTGGAGTCCGAGGTGTCTGCGACAACGCCCACGAGGCCCAGGCAGCACAGGAGCCAGGCACATTGACCAAGGCCTCGGCAGAGGTGTTTAGGAACTCTGGCCCACGCCACGGTGCTAAGAATTACATGAGCCAGACATCTCCCAGCGTTGCCCCCCTGCCCCACTTCGCAGCCAAGCCCTCGACCGCGACGGCCAGTTCAGAAAGTCGCAGCAAAGACAACGCCATGGCGTCTCTGGAGAGGTGAGGATTTTTTGGAGGGGGAGCTGCGCCGGGAGCTCTACCACCCTGGCTGCTTGCAGCAGTCGTAAGTTTCAGCTCTCCTCCGTCTTAACGATGCAAGGATACTTCAGAATTAGCAGGGCGACAAAACGACTGACAAAGTTTATGAATGCAGACTAAGTAATTGTCGCACGGCGAAGTTTGCGCCTTCCTCCGTGGTCGAGCGAAATGGCCGCATGGTGTTACATCAGTGCCGGGATGAAAACTAACGACCGAGATCAAGACCCCAATCATCGCCCCACAGCCGCAGGAACACTCGTCATCTTTCGCGACAGCCGCCAATGACGAAAATCGTCGTTCAAAGTAGCCCTGTCGCAGACAGCAGGCTCGGCAGACAGCAGGCTCGGCAGCCATCAGACAGCACTTTACAATGGGCTGATCCGAACTCCAGGACTTTGCGAAATTCTGGCGTGCTACATGCGCCAAACCAAAAAAACAAATACCACATGTTTGGCCACAAATAAATCTGCGAACGGCTGCCTTCTGGCTTTATTGCTCATTCTGTGGGCTAAACGGGGTCCCACACGGAACATTCAGTTTAATCCCAATCCGATCCTACAGACTGAAACCGAGAACCCAACGCCCGAGCTGCTGCCTGCGACTCGTCTGTCCCTGTCTACGGACCAGCGGCTGCAAAGGGAGCGGGAGGCAGCTAGGGAGGCCTGAGGCTTCATCTTCGGGGCATCTTGGGCTTATTCTGGTGTAGTTTAAGCTCCCCAAAGCTGTTGTGCTTGGGAGTTGGGATATATATATATATATATACATATACATATTATGTATACATATATATACACATCTATACATACATATATATATATATATATGTACAGGGGATGTGGGGGTTTGAGTCATTTGCGCGGGCCTGTCTTCTTGCTGACAGCAACTTAGGCTTTCTCAGCTTCGCTGTCGGAGTCTCCGGCAGTGACCTGCACGGTTTAGGCTTTAGGGTTTAGGTTCAGCGTCTGGGTAATATAGGGACCTGAATAATCAGAATAGGGTTTTTGGGCCCATTATTCTACAATTATAACAAGGAACCCCCCCTCCACCCCCCAAACAAAAAAATGGTGCCGGTAATGAATCAGGCCCCTATTATAGTAGTTGAGCTTCTGCATCAAGGCTTAGGGGAGATCTTGCATCCGGAAGCCCCACGATTGGCAGTGAGAGTGGCATGATCTGACGAACTTTCAATCCAATCTTGGTGCATTTCAGTGTCTCGGACTCAACCCTTTCACCGTTCAGCCAACTTGTGGAATCCATTGAATATTAGACGGCCTTGGGCCTTGGGGGACTGCAACTGTCACAAGCAGTACCTCGCCTGGGGTTGTCCATGCTGCCGCATGCACAAAGCATGCGACAGCTCAGCAGTTAAGTTTCAGCTCTCTCGTGGACAGCCGCTTGGCCACCGGCACCCGGATGTCTCGAAGAAATAGTGCCCTAGACTAAACATGCTCTGGGAACTCTCAAGGCCTGGAGGGCCTGCGAGCACCAGCAACTTGGAACACGGATTTCCCAACTCTAGACATGCAACCTTGTTAATGCTGCAGTTGACAAGCAGACTCAAGCAATCGGCCTTATCTTGCCTTTTTGTGCCCTTTCCTTGCCATCGGAGAGCCTTCTTTGCCCTTAGGCTCGGTCGATCAAAGGTAGAGCTGCTATTTAAGCATGACATGGCCGAAATCTATGGACCCTACTCAACCGGGCTCTGAATTGTCAGGCGTGATGATGCCTGTTGCGATGATGGTCGTGATGATGGCAATGGCGCTGGCGATCGCGATGGAAATGCTGACGGCGATGGCGGTGGGGCGGTGGCGCTGGCGCTGGCGGCAGCGGCGGCGGCAGCGGCGGCGGCGGTGGTGGTGGTGGTGTCGTGGTGGTGATGGTGGCCGTGCCGGTGGTGGTGGCCGTGGCGGTGGTGGGGGCGACGGCGGGGGTAGGGGGGGGGGGGGGGGGTCCTCGTCGTCGTCATCATTATAATCATAATCATCATAATCATCATAGTCATCATAATCACCATCATCGTCATCATCGTCGTCATCATCATGGCCGCCATCATCAACATCATCATCATCACCACCACCACGACAAACGTCATCATCAGCGTCATCATCATTATCATCACCATCATCATCACCATCTGCACTATCATCAAGGTGATGAATACGTCTGGGTCCATCATGTCACTTGTCTGTAGGTCTGTAGCTACCGACAAAACAAATTCCGCAATCTGTTCCAATCTGAGCGTAGGCACCGAATTTTCTTCTGGATCTCTTTCTGCTTGGCCTCAAAGAACACACGCACAGCCACCGCACACAGCTGGGCGGTACCATCAGCAGTTTGAGCGACTGTGCCAATAGAAGAGTCAGAACCCGAACTTGAAACCATAAACAGTTTAACCGCATCACAGAACGAAAGAGATGAAGCAGGCTTGTCTGGCACATGACTTGCGGGCTGGCGCTGCTCCCGCCGGGCCTTCTTCTCCTCCTTCTTCGTGATCCAAGCCTTTCCCTCCTCTGTCTCCTCCGGAGCTGTGCAGGCTCGTTCGGGTTTACGGGTTAGGGTTTAGGGGTTGCCGGTAGCTTTGAAGGCAAAGACAGGATGGTGCTCTCAGAGTCATCCCGCCTTCCACTCTTCAAACATCTTTCGGATGGGCCACTTCTCGCTGTAACCTCGGCAAGATGGGTTAATCGTTGCCATCCAATGTCCTTCTGTCTAGTAGTCGAAAAATAATTGCTGTGCGAGGACTGCCATTTCAAGGATTCTATCAATCTGAAGGCCGCTGCTGCAGGCACCGAGGGAAGTCGAAATCTGGGTGCCCGCACGATCAAAGTTGGTGCCCATCCAGGGCTCGTACTTCTGGGGTGCCTCGGCCCAAGTCGAAAAGTCTCGGGCTGCCGGGCTGAAGCAGGGGCACTAGTTTGGGCTTGGAGCTTGGGTGGGTCCGTCATTTCCCGAGCCCCGGCTGTTGCTTTCCAGGCACCAGAGTGCTCGAGGTAGACCATCGGCACTTGTTCGTCACATACTCCCAGGGCACAACGCTGACCTGCAAGGGCTCGATGCAGAAACGCTAAATCTCCAAGCCGGAACCTCTCAGCCCTGAAGCTCATGAGTCTGCACGGCATAGAGTCTCTACTCTAGAGGCTAGAGTTACCCAGAGTTAGCGATGCTGGCATCCTGACGTTGATGGAGCCCGGATGCCTAACATGGATTCCTAGCGGTGTCACTTGTGGCCTCCTTGTGGCGGTAGTCTCCACGCCACTGCACGATGCCGTCTTTCAGGGCAATCAGCGACATATCCCTGAAAGCCGGAGATGTAGGCGTGTAGGCCAAAGCTTTCATATGCGGAATCTCCAGGCTTCGGCTGCAGGTGTTCCAACGGTGCTTCCTGGTAGGGCCTACGGGACAGTGCACCATCGCAACCGCGGCGCTGGAGAATGCTCGACAGCTCTGGCCTGCCGAAACACTAGCTCCTCCGAAATCCGGATCCGAGTTCAGAGTGCCAAACCAACTGCTGGTGCGATTTCAAGAAACCAACATCACAAACAATTCTGATGAAAATGGCTGTGACGACGACAAGAAGACTGTCAGCACATCACCACTCTCGATGCTGATGTGGGAGTTGCCGAAAATAAGGGCTACCTTATTTTGGGGTCCTTATAATAAGGATCCTACAAGTATTTAGGATACTATATGAGGGTCCCCTATTTTCGGAAGCCCCCATAGTATACTGACGGACTAACATGCCACCGACCCGCGAGGCTCGCAAGCTGCAGGCGAGAGGCTTGCACATCTTGACATTGTTTCCAGGGTACCAGTTCATGGCGCGCCTCGTCGACACAGTCAAGAACCAACTAACGAACGAACCAACTGCCTGCCTGACTGACTCACTGACTAACCAGCCAGCCAGCCAGCCAGCCAGCCAGCCAGCCAGCCAGCCAGCCAACCAACCAACCAACCAACCCGCCGACGAACTGACTAACTGACCACCTAACCAACTAAGTTGACAAGTATGTGTATATGTTGTATGTATGTGTGTGTATATATACAGGTGTGTATACATTTACATGCACAGACTCAGCAATAATCGTATTCATAGCAACCGCAATTCAGGCGATGATGGTAACAACAGTAGTAAGAACAAGAGTAATCAGAATAATGATCACTAGAAACGATAGCCATAGCAGGAATTTGAACAGCAAAACAATAATCATCTTGACAGTCATACTAATAATGACAAACAACGCAACGGCTAGCCGGAGCTTCCCTTCGAAGGAAGTATTTTCCTCTCACAGCCCTTCTCAGCTACGGTTCCGAATCCACGTTTAGTCTTGCTGTGCTTGTTGTTGATGTTGTTGTTGTTGTCATTCGTACTCGCATGTCGATTAGTATTGGTATTCGTATTGTTCATAGGAAAAGGAATAGGATGAGGGTTAGGGATAGGAACAGCATCCGCATTGGCATTAGGGCTTGTAGTAGTAGTAGTGCTAGTATTAGTACTTAAATTTCGACGAATATTCGCACTAGCATTAGTATTAGCATAAGCTTTCTTGTTGTTGTTGCTGTTGTTGTTGTTGTTACTATTGTGATGACTAATTACTGCTGTTCTTCATGGTTTACCTATTGTTGCTACCAGTATCAATACTATATCTACTATGCTTACGACTGCAGATCGAAAATAGGATACAGATGTTCAGGGTTCTACGAGCGTGCATGATTCCGACACTCCCATTTAGCAACCGTGGCGCTGCTTCACCAGTCGCTGGCGGCACTTCACAGCCTTGCCACTCAATGCCTTGACCTGGGCTGCACTGGACTGCACCATGCTGCACAGCTAGCTGTATGCTGTTCTGAGTTTACGGATACTACGAATACTACCACTACAACTACCACCGCGACGACAAGGACTGCGGCGATTATCATCACAACTGCCTCTAGCGAATTATCAACAA